GTGTTTCCTCAGAAAATACTGTACTGTACTTGTATGTATTGTTTACTTGAGAATACAACAGAGAATAAACTGTCCAAATACCCTTAAACAAAGGAAAAGTACGTCTTTTATGAAGGCATAGAGCCTTTACTACATGAAAATGAAAATTAATGAATACACTGTGTACAGTAATTTACCTGATAAGACAGACCTCAGAAAAATACTTTGAGGCATAAAGCTGTCTTTATCACAAAAATTAATTAACTAAGGATTTTTTTGCCCTGCCAGGATGTGGCCGAGTTATCCGGAGTGCCGAGTTTTCGAGGCTCTACTATATATCTATCTAAAAAAAACTTTTTGTCTTGATCATTTTTAGAATTTCCAATGTATGTCTTTATTTATTAAATTAATTATTTAATTAATTCAGCTTAAAATTACAAATAGTAATAAAGTTGTATTAAAATTTATATATAATTGGAAAAACTTATTAGTTGATAAAATTTTAAATAAATTATGACTGAAATTTAAAATCAATTATTAATCTCTAATTATATTACAATTGTTGTGATAGCACCTTGATTTCAATATGTTCATAATAGGAAAAAAAATCTTAACAATGTAAGTCTGATAAAACTGGTCATGTTGCTTGTAAAATACATAATTTAGAATAGTGGAATAGGATTAGTTCAGATTCAATGAATAAATTTAAAAACAATGATGTGAAAACAGTCTAATTCCATTTGATATAATATCAAAAGTTAGACTATAAAACTAATTATAAAATATTTACAGTGTGTAAAAGTAAATTGTATTGAAAATAAGTTTTTGAATGAAAAGAAAATTAGTATATTATACTATATTAATTAATGAGAAGGAAATGTGTTATCAAACAAAGTTATCAGTAGGATATTTTTACCTGATAAACAAATTTGATATTTCTGTAAAGCATCAAAATTGATATTTCAAATTGAAATTATACTTACAGAATAAACTAATATTCTATCATTCTAATGATAAAACAAAAACTTTATTTAAATAGCTTAAATAAATTAAATAACTAACTCGTGTTAACAATTATGCATATATAAATTATTTATGCACTCAAACAATGGAAAGCAGTTTGCAGACAAACTTTATGCAGAACATAGGTAAGTGCTGACCTCCTGTGACTCTGTACATTCATTATTTAATGCAACCTTTCAAGTTTCTTAATACTTATTGTTTCTCATAACTAATTGTTAAAATTTAAACAGGGACTAACAAATTATATTCTCAATAACTGGAATGAATTACAAAGCACAATCAACAAAACCTTTAAGAACCAGTAACAAAATTTAATGTAAAACTTTATCATGTTTAAAAAATTTTTGAAAATTGTGTTCTGAGCATTCCAATTTGGAATATAATGTTGACCTGATGCAGATCTTGTTTTAGGATCGAAAATGTTCAACAAGTTTTACATTAAATTTCGTTATGGATGTTAAAGGTTTTGTTGATTGAACAAGGACTAAGTAAGTTATACTTCTCATTATAAATTTGAAGTTCCAAAAATAATAAAGATATAAAAGTCATTGTTATTTATTACATTAAAAACTTCTTTAGATAGTATTCAAATTTTTCTCTCTCATGAAACTCAATTCATATAAATGTGTGCATGAAAATCTGGTGTTCATTCATATTCTGCAAGGTCTGTTCAGAAAGTTTATGAACTCTGCAAATAGAAGTTGTTTGCATTTATCTAGAAGCTAATCAGTTCTGTTGCCTTCAAAGTAGTTCTTTCCTGAGCCTATGCATTGAATCCAGCATTTCTTCCATGAATGGAATGCTTCCTGAAACACTTCTTTTGAGATGATGTGCATCTCCACTGGCAAATTTTCATTAATGGTGTCAATGGATTCAAAACTGCTACTCTTTAGAGCAGATTTTAATTTCGGAAACAAAAAGAAATCTGCTGGGGATTAGTCAGGTGAATATGGAAGTTTGAGAACAATTAGTGTTGAGTTCTTGTTCAAAAATTCTTTTATCAGCAGTAATGTGTGGGTGGATGCATTGTCACGATGCCGTTCTCTCCAAGTAGTGTCTTTTCTACTTAGTGCTTCATGAAGACATTTCCAGATAGTATTTGTGGCGAATGACACCTTTGGAATTGAACAAAAAAACTGAGCAAGATCTTCATATTTGACCAAACTTGTCACACCTTTTTGGTCCCACCCACTGTGATGACTGACTTTTTGTTTCCACATTGACCCATAGACCCATGTCTCATCACCATTTTTCATTAACTTTTCATCAAACCTAGCCTGTCCCAGAATCTCTTCACAAAACACAATCAACATATGTTTATGCAAATGAATGTAACATAACAACAACAACAAATGAAAATAGAACAAACTGCTATTAGCAGATAATACACAAAACTTGCCATTAGAGAGCTGTGTAAGCTGCATTCAAATTCAATTATTAGATGATGTGTAATTGGTGTAAATGTATGTAAATTAGTGTAAATTGTGTGTAAAAGTTTGCAAACTTTCCAGACAGACCTCATATATAGACTCCATATACAAATCTATGAATATATAGTATGTATATATGTAGAAGCAGGG